AAGATGGTTCAAAGCACAGGAGCTGCGAATGCAGACTACTTGCGTAGTTTAGTACTTGACAACAAGCGTGAGAGAGATGATGATGAGTCTCAACAGCCTTTACAAGGACAAAGGAAATGGCTAGCTTCAAATCGTTGGGCTGCAGCTGCTCAGTTTGCACTAGGTGTGAGTCTTACATCATCACACAACGATCTTCAGATTCTTGAGATTGAAGATGATGGGAGTATTTTGAAGAGGACAAAAGATGCGGTTGTGACATTGCGGAATGTTCTTGAGGGGAAACATGACAAAGAGATTGCAGAGTCGCTTGAGGAACATAATATCTCTAGAGAGGGTTGGTTGTCATCACTCTATAGAATGGTAGAAGGTAAGTAGTAGATACATCCTATTACAAAATCTTAATCAACACATCACATCAAAGTCAATTCTTTCTCATATCTTGAGCTCTTGCTTTCAGGGCTTGCGGTGATGAGCAGATTGGCGAGGAACAGAATGCAACAACCAGGTTACAATTTGGAAGGAAACTCGTTTGACTGGGACAATATCGAGATGTAGATTAAGTTTCAATTCAAGCTAGTAATCATCATCATCATTTGAAGGAACATGTTCTTACCTTAACCAAAATTGTTACTCTTGGATGTCTTAAAACTTAATTTTGTTCTGCAAAGAAAATTGAACTTTGATGTGTTCTTTATTTCGTCTATGATAATTAGAGTAGTTACCCTTTTCAGATTTGATGATACAGAGGATTTTTTGAATTTGTGAAGCAATTTTGAAAGCTGGACAAAGTTGTAAACATGAGTTTCTCAAAGAAACTCTCTATAGTCACTGTAGCCCCAAGAAAGAAAGAAACATCAAGAAAGAAGCTAAAACTCTCAAGGCTTGATTTGATGTTGTCCATGTCAATCTCTTACAAACCTCTACCGAGTTTAAGTACGCTGCTTTCTCAAGGGGTTTCGATCTTTGCTTGTTTGACTGACAACCACTGCTTAGAGCCCATTCTTCCATTGCTGAAATTTTCCATCTCAGCCAGTGAAATAAGCTCTTTATCCAGCCTCTTCTCAAGTTTACTACACTTATTATTATGAAATTGAAAGGTTTGGTTTGTCAAATAAACCATTTACTAGCTTTTGACCCATGCGGATGTATATTCTGTATAAATATATGTTTGCACTAATTGTAGAAAACATTCATATTTATGTTTTATAGGTTATTGAGTTATAATGTCTGCTGTATCTTTTTTTTATTTTGTTGTGTTTTTTTCTATCAAGAACACACTTGCAATGTGTTGATGTGAACGTGTAGAGACGGTCCAATGTTATCATAATAACTTAGCAAAAACAAAACTCAAAAGATTAAGAGTAGAAAAATAAGCTTTTGAACTTGAATAGTATTTGTCCAGAAAAAAAAAAAGAAAAAAAAGAACTTGAATAGTTTAAGAAAAAGAAAAGGAATAACGTGAGCACGTGAGAGACAAATATTGAGGAGAAGGAAATATTGAGCTATATCCCTTATATATTAAAGTTGAAACATTTAAAAAATTGTAACCTCAATTTTGTAATAATTAAAAAAGACCCATGCTTAGGTGTCACTCAATTAGGTAATCAATTACATTCAATTGAAAAATAAGAAGTCCACATTCGATTTTTATATGTCGCTAGATACATTCGTTGGTCAAATTATATGATATGATGATATGATATGATATTTATGATAGAAACATTTAAGATTGTTCCCCTAGATATAATTATTATTTTATGTTCTTTCCATAAATAAAACCTACGGAATTACCATAAATGACTAATATATACAGTAAAACCTCTATAAATTAATACTGTTAGGACTTTGAATTTTTTTAATTTATAGAGATATTAATTTACGAAAGTTTCCTTATTTAATTTTTTTTTAATTTTTTCCATTTTTATTTATAAAATAAAAAATATTTTATTTTAGCATATGTACATTATTTAAATTTTAGAAATTTGACCTTTATATTGTTTTATTATCTTATTTGGTGTATATTTTTATGTTTCATAGAATTGTTACATGGCTTTTGATATAATTTAAATAAATATTATCAAAATATATTGAAATGTTTAAAAATAAAAGTATTTTATAGTAAATATAAAACCCCTAACTAAATATTATCAAAATATATTGAAATGTTTACAAAAATAAAATTATTTATAGTAAATATAAAACCAACAATATAATGTTAGATTGTACTTATATAAAATTATATATAGCTAAATTATTAATTTATGATTTTAATGGGACCATATATTTACATGGCAGTTTTAAAAATATTATTATCTTATTATTTTATCGATTTGTGTCATATTTTACACCGGCCCAAGTTAGGACCGGGGAAATTTATTAATTTATAGAGATTATTAATTTATCGAGTATTAATTTATAGAGGTTCTACTGTATATGTGACACTTAATGATTCTAATAATAAATATTTGATAACAATTTATATATCCTCCATCATTTTTATTTAATTTTATATTATTAAAATAAATTAAACAATCAAATTAGCTATAAACTTAAACTTTAGTTTTTTTCGTATAGGTTATATTTTGAATTTTAAAAAACGAGAATAAATAAGTAAACTATTAAAATTATTATGTTAAAAATTAATGATCAATAGTTTAACATTTTTATTATAAAAAGATATACATGATTTTAAAACCATATAAGTCAAAAGTATCATTCAATAATAAAACAAATATATATACAGATTAAACTATATACCATATAAGATTACATAAATATTTTAATTTCAAAATTTTCAATAAATTTTCAAGAACATTTATAAATTATAAACTTATTAAATTTTTCACATTGAAATTTTTTGTTATCAATGATTTAAATATCTTAGTTCTTTTTTTTTAATTTTATATTTTTAAAATATAATAACAATCGATAATATGGTTATTTTTGGTATAGACCATACAAACCGAATGGATGTGATTTTATAAAAACCATAGGATTTGGATATGGTTTGATTTATAATCGATTAAACTGAAACATGTAAATATGTATATATTTATAACGACGCATGAATATCTATTTGTTACATGAGTTGAACTATAATTATAATTTGTAAATAGCTAACAATTTATTACAACTGAGACTTCTTATTTTGATCTTTTGCTTTTTTAACAGTAACTAAATTGAAGTAAAGATTATAAATTTGATGGACAACAATTAGTTGAAATTCTTTACAACTTTTTTTTTTATCTTTAAACAAACAGAGTTCTGTTCAATCGAAGACATATTGGTTTGATGAACACTAAATATGGAAGAATATAAAAATTTTTTCTTTCATGCTTCTGTTTTGTTTTTTATTTTTATTTTCAAAATTTAGTGTTTTATATTAATTCTAGATTTGATCATTTTATTAGATGATAGAAGCCTTTTTTTTATTCTTTTATTTAAATATATAATATTTTTTTAATAAATGACTGTGTGACAATATGACTCTAAATATGATCATATTATATATTTGTATAATATATAATATGATCTCAAACTAAATAATAATGTTTTTTGGTATAAAATTGAATAAACTGAAAACTGATGGTATATAAACCAAATCAAACTGAAGTACATATAGATTTAGAATAGTAGTTATATTTTAATAATCGAAATACCAAAAAATCGAGCCGAACCGAAATCTGATATCCGGATTGAACACCTCTAACCAAATGAAATCGAACTATTGTTTCATTTTTCAAAACATAATAAAAATAATAAATTCATCCCGCGCAAGACGCAGATCTTATCCTAGTATATGTTAAAAAGGAGAGACATATTTACTATGTAAATTAAAAAAGGAATTACGTTAGCATGTGAGAAACAAATATTGAGGAGAAGGAAAACAATTATGAGTTATATATATGTTAAAAAAGGAGAGACAGATTTACTATGTAATTTAAAAAAAGGAATTACGTTAGCATGTGAGAAACAAATATTGTGGAGAAGGAAAACAATGAGTTATATATCTGTCAAAAAAGGAGAGACAGATTTATTATGTAAATATCACAACTTTATGCTTGCTTAGAATGTTTAAGAAAGAATCTAGTGATATATGCTTGACAATTACTAAAATACCATAAATGTAAACATTCCAAATTTCCACTAGTTAATGCCTCCTTAATGACAAAATCTAAAATTTCTAAAATTCTCTGACTTACCCACAAAAAGGTAAACGATCAGCGTAGACAATACAGTATAAATAGATCAGTACAATTGACTAGTAGGTAAAAACTAGAAGAGAAGAAAATTTAGAAAGACCCAAAAGCTTTGGTGGTTTTGTCAAGAAAAGATGCAAACAGGTCTCATCCTAACCATCGTGTTTGTGGTGCTCATCATCATTTTGGCTATTGTAGCTTGCTGGGTTTGCGCCCCAAAACTCATCAAACGGTTTGGGACCGATGCAGCATAACTATTATCTTGTTACCAATTAATCAGCCATGTCTTTTTTTTGTTATTTCTTATATTATTACCTAAATAGCAGATCGATGCTGCGACTCTGCAAAATCTATAGTTGTTCTTGCATTTATTAATGTTTTGGCTTAATGATATTGTAGCTCTATTATTTCTTTCATAATTGAATTATGGTTTTATAATATTTTGCAGTGTTATATATAATTTACTAGTAATACATCTCTTATCATCAACCCTACCTTTGAGTCAGTGAGGTGTGGATACTCCGGTATTGAGTAGTAGTAGTAGCACACCGTGGTACACATTACAAGATTACGTTGCCTTACAAAAATAATGGTTTGCCAGTTGTGAAAAAGAGGTAATATATAAATCGAGGATACGAAATCACACATTAACCATCTCAAAACCTAGCTGAGACAAGTTTCAAATGTGAACATACTAAAAAACCAAACACGAAAACACAAACATTTAAAGTACTAGTGATTGTCATAACAAGGAAGCACACACATAAAGAAGAAATTCGAGACTTTAACCGGCCTGTGACTTTAACCAGCACAGGCCGGTTCAAACGCGAAGGGACCAACAGAGAATAGAACATAGTCGTGTTCAGCAATGTTGATCGATTTAGAAGGCTTAAGCATAGCACCGGTGGTTCCATTGTTGAGCTGTGAAGGGACGGTGCATGTCACCGTTGCAGAAGCGGGACCGGGGTTCGTGGGCCAAGCCCGGCACGTGTGGAAAGCGTAGGTGGTGAGTTTATTCGGAGCTAACATGAAGAAGTATCCGTTTTTGTCTGTTGTTGTCTCCATCGTCACACCTCTCTTTGTGTTGTTGCATGCAAGCTTTACAGTCGCTCCTGTAGTTGAAACATTAAATAAATCTTAATAAATATATATCATCTATTCAGTGATTATTACAAGCTTGCTTTAAACATTTAGCTTTAGGGAAATAAAACAGTCGTATAGAAGAAAGTAAAAAGAGAAGAAAAAGACGAAGATAAATTTTTGTGCATGAAAGCCAAGTAGGACGAAAATACTTTTCTTTTTTTGCATGAAAGCCAAGTGGCACGAGAGTCTCGACGAATGTGTAACCCAAAATCATGACATGTTATTTCTTTTAGTCACTGGTGTTAATTTTTGAAAATGCATTTATCCTAATTAACCTATTTGACTATTAGTGAAATTTACCTTAAGATACCAGTCAATCAGTGCTCTTAATACATCGGTTTGTAGGATTAATATCATTAATTCAAATTCTATCATAGGAAAATCAGTCTAACATTGCATGCATTGGTAGGTAACGAGCCTCTAGACTAAATTCATCAAACTAATCTCTTTGAACAAAAGTTAATTAATCTAAGATTTTGCAGCCATAAAGTTTGATGGGATGTATTTTTTTGCGAGAACGTAATGCATGCATATATATGTTTTTCATTTACACATGTAAATGGTTCAAGAACCAGGAATAGGACTCAGCTACAGAACTTAATGTGAAGATTATGTCATGGAAGTAAATCTCCTAAACATGCAACCATGAAATAAGACAAAACAAAAATGCGAAGACAAGGTCAATCGAAAGTTCAAGAGGATCTATAACTTATGAAGTTATAGATCGACGAGACTACAAATTAATTATAAAAAGTTAAAAGAGATCAGAGATTATAATGTAACAACCTTGAAGAGGAGATGCTTCTTGGAGCGTATCAATGCCGGAGTACTTGCAAGACTTGCAATAAACCATGCCTTGAACCGCCACAAGTTTTCGGCTCATCTTTGCTGCCGGTGGAGTCACTGGAGAAGCGGATGAGACTTCATTGGTGTAGATGAAGGTTAATGAGATGAGAACAAGTAGAAGATATTTGAGAGATTTTACTACCAAAGCTCCCATTTTTGTTCTTTGTCAGTGATGGAGAGTGAAATAGGATCTCTCACTAGAGGTCATATTTAAAGCACTAACTAAAGGTCAGGGTTTTTTTTTTTTTTGGCATTCAAAATTACTCAAGAAAAAAACGAATTTCAAGAACTCATAGATAAATACAAGAAAGTATACAATATATTAGTAGTATATAACTGCATTATATACAAATGTGCTACCATATGTACTCCACTGACGCCAGACCTCAAACTAAAAGAAAAAAAACACGGTTTTGAAAACCGGCCAGTCGAACGGTCCGATCGTACTCGCTGAAGAAGTCAAATTCGGTCCAATTTAAAATCCAGATTTGAAAAACAGTAAAACCAACAAAAACTGGTAAAATCAGTGATCCGAATCACTTAAACCGTTTCTACGAAATTAACATATAATTAATGTGTTTTCAATTTGTAATAAAATTTAATATTTTGTAATCACTGTTTGTCTATTATTATTATTATTATTATTATTATTATTATTATTATTATTATTATTATTATTATTATTATTATTATTATTTAATTCTATTTTCTTAAACTAATGTAAGCAAATATATTTTTAGATTTTATATATTATTCTTATTTTGACATTATTGATAAAATCTGAGACTTTGATTGTAAAAATAATAAATACTCTAGTTTGAACAATCAATCATTTGGTTTTTATCAATTTCAGTTTCCATAATATTCATTTGTTTAATATATATAGTTAAATTTATGTTATTTTCTATTTTGTTAATTAATAAAGCAAAAAGATAATATATTATATGTATAATTACTTTTAAGTCCAAATCATGTAAATATATGATTATATATATATATATATAATTTTCATATAGAAAATCCTGTTTAATCGATTGACCGATTCAACTAGTGAGCTAGTACATATACTGAATCGGTGTCTAGTGTGGTTTTTAAAACATCGCCCTCATCAACAACTTTGATCCCCATTGTGTGCCATCTCAGTGATGCATGTATTCTTACTCTTTATGAATAAAACAATTGAAATATATTAGTATTTAGAAGTCAAAAAAGCATACATATAATAAGATTTTCTTTTTGGTCAATGTATATTCGATTAAACTCTGAATAACTTCCAAATAGTACAAAGTTTTTTTTTTTTTTTTTTTTTCCAAATAGTACAAAGTTACCAACTAACTGACAAGGTAAACCCTATCCCTGAGCTCATAAAACCACTCAAACATCCCAAGTTCCCAACCAATGGGTAAAAAACAAAATACAGATAATAATATTCTAAACAGGCCATTTCATCAAAACCTAATTTAAGAAAATGGCGAGTTCCACGAGAGAAGAAATTTTAAAGTTAGTTCTTGATGAAATGGCGTGTATAGAATATTATTATCTGTTTGACCAAAAGAAAAGATAAAATGGGACACTATAGCATGCAATATGTCTTATACTATATTTAGTTTACTACTAATAGATTACTAATTTTTTTTTTTTTTTTTTGGTATCCCAAACCCATGGAGAGACCCAGATTAATCCCCAAAGGGGTGGTGCAACCCACGGATGGACTCTCATTCCGGGTATTCAAATGGGCCGTAAGATAGGCCCACCATCTTGTGGTTTAGATTACTTAATTTTAAATTACTAAAATTAAGTATTCACTATGTTTCATTATAAGTGTCATTCTACAGCTGTGTACACGGATTAAGGAAACAATTAATTTTACATATTTTCTATATAAAAATAAAATTATCCATACACCTAAAAATATTTTAACTAATAGAAAAACAAATTACACCTAAAATTAATAAATTTTGTATTGAAAACCGTAAACAACACTTATTTTGTAACGTAAAAAATTCTCTACAACGACACTTAATATGAAACGGAGGGAGTATCATGTTATCATAATTTATTTTTTCTAATACTTTTATGTGAAATAATTATTGATATTGTGATTACAACACGTGAAGTTAAACTATAAGAAGTGTTGACCAAAAAAAAAAACTAAAAGAAGAAGTTTTTGTTATTAGTTAAGGATTGAAAAATGAGTTTTTTAAAAGCCATGAAAGAATACACGTGCGTAAAATGGATGAAACATACTAGTATAATATTTATTGTATATTTTAAAAACTTTAGTAATTAATAAACTTTTTAATACTTTTATTTTCTTTTAGTAATATCCCCGAAACAGGCACGATATAAATACACACATTTTCATTTCAAAAAAAAAAAAAAAATACACAAGACTTTACAAAGTAGTGACAAAAATAGTCACGATTAATCATGACTAAATCATGTCTGTTTAGTATTTACAAATAAAATCATACGTATAATAATATGTATATTTGATTTTCCGTCATCTAAAGAATGGCGAGTTCCCCGCGGAGAATTTTTAAAGTTAGTTCTTGATGAAATATTATTATCGGTATTTTGTTTTTTACCCATTGGTTGGGAACTTGGGATGTATGAGCGGTTTTATATATAGCAACTCTAGACTTTGGCACTCCCACCTAAAAGAAAAGAATAATAACATGAACATGAATATGACCTATCCATCTACTTTCACGCTTGTACTTTCCATTATGCTGGTCCTGGCCTTAGCTATACGTTCCTTGAGATCCAAGAAATCAAAATTTCAACTTCCTCCGGGCCCAAAGGGATGGCCGATCATAGGAAACTTGTTCCAAATGATCATGAACCGGCCGGCTCATCAGTGGATCCACCGCGTCATGGAAGCTATGGAAACGGAGATAGCTTGCTTCCGTTTTGCCAGCGTCCATGTCATCATCGTAACCTCAAGCGAGATTGCCCGAGAAGTGCTTAGGGAAAAGGACAAGGCTCTCGCAGACAGAGCCGAGGCATACTCGATCAAACTCATAAGTCATGGCTACAACGGCGTTAGTTTCTCTCCTTACGGTGAGCGGTGGAAGTTAGCGAAGAAAGTGATGGTCACTAAACTCATGTCTTCTTCAACTCTTAACAAAACTCTCGGTGATAGAAACGTAGAAGCTGATAACATTGTCACGTATGTTTACAATATAATATGCCAATCAGGGTCTTTGACGAAGCTGGTTAACGTGAGGGATGTTGCGTTAACATACAGCCACGCCGTGATGATGAGGATGCTGTTTGGCCAGAGATATTTTGATAAACCGGCTAAGGATGGTGGTCTCGGGCCGAAAGAAAAAGAGCACATGGACGCAATATATCGAGCTCTTGATTGTTTATTCGGCTTCAGTGTAGCAGATTATCTCCCTTTTCTTAGAGGATGGAACGTCGAAGGTGAGGAGAAGGAAGTAAGAGAAGCGGTTGATATTATCAACAGGTGCAACGACCCGATAATCCGTGAGAGAATGCATTTGTGGAGGGAGAAAGGTGGAAAAGAGACGGAAGAAGATTGGCTCGATATTATAATCACGCAAAAAGATGATCAAGGAATGTATTTATTCACATTTGAGGAGATTAGGGCTCAATGCAAGGTAAGAATTGTTAAAAAAAAAAAAAAAAAAAAAGAAGGCAAAAAATCAAATTAGGGCTTCATATCTTAGAGCTAGCATGATCAACTCGGGTTTTTTATGATGAAATTCTTAGCGGAAGTTAAAAAAATTGTCTTAACTTTTAACTAAAAACGCTAAGAACCTATTCTTAGATAAGGATTTTAAGACTTAAACCGGTTCTTAGTTTTTTAGTTTAAAGTTAAGAAACAATTTTGTTAATTTCCGTTAAAATCTCATTCTAAAAGCAGGATTATCCCTAATGCTAAAGGGGGTACTTAGGGGAGGGTCACAAAAGTCGACGCCTCAAACTCCAGAATAAGCGTTTTTTTGGGTTGTTGCTTGGCCTGATCTGCAGGCCCCATGACATGTGGCGATCCGCAATTGGTCATTTTTTTTTTAATTCCGAAAAAAACAAAAAAATTTAAAAAATTTAAACACCTCTGGGATAATCCTGCTCTAAGAATCCAGAGTTAATCATGGTCTTAGTTCTTACGCATGTATTATACTATCATGAATTCCATATGTAGGATGTGAATGTTGCAACCATCGACAATACAATGAATACTGTGGAGTGGACGATAGGGGAGATGTTGAATCATCAAGAGATTCTTGAGAAAGCTACAAAAGAATTGAACACTGTAGTTGGCAAAGACAGACTTGTCCAGGAATCAGACATACCACAACTTAACTACATCAAAGCTTGTTGCAGAGAATCTTTCCGGCTTCACCCACCTAATGCTTTTATGCCTCCTCATGGAGCCCGAGAAGATACTACTCTTGCTGGTTATTTTGTCCCCAAAGGTAAAAAAAATTCCATATTTATTATATACACTAAAATATGGAGAAATTATTAAATATAGGTATGAATCGGGGACGACATTAAAAAATATGATGATTATCAAATTTTATACCTAGAAATTGTCAAATTATTTACACATGGTTCTCTAACTTTCGCTTGTTTAAAATAATTTATGAAAAACTATTTGTCTCTACAATTTTGTGAGAAACCAATTGAACAAAAATCCCATTTTCTTATTTATTCATTTTTTCAAGTGAATTTCTCTCCATTATTTTGTTTCCGTTTTTCCTTAAACATACAGTCAGCAATCCAAGCCATAGTATATATAGGGAGGTCCTGCTTAACATCTGTCAAACAGTTTATGACATAGATCGTATTCTAAAAGAATACAAACGAACAGAATATGACGTGGTTATATATGATAAATTGTAACGACAGGTAGTCAAATTCTTGTGAGCCGTCCAGGACTTGGTCGGAACCCTAAGACATGGGAGAAACCTGACGCGTTTATGCCAGAGCGACACCTTGATCATTCTAGGGACACAGTGGATGTGACTCTGATGGAACCCGACATGGGTTTCGTGGTATTCGGCACCGGTCGGCGTGGCTGCGCAGGTCCTAAGCTTGGAACAACAATGATCGTCATGTTGTTAGCTAGGCTTCTCCAAGGGTTCGAATGGACTCTGCCACCGGGTGCAAGCCAAGTCGAGCTCATTGCCGCTAATACCAACTTGTTCATGGCCAAGCCTCTATTTGCATCTGCTAAGCCTAGGCTGGCTCCTGGTTTATATCCAAAACTCCAGGTTTAAGAGTATCTACAACTCTACTTTATTTTTCATTAGACCATGTACAATAAATAAGTCGGTTGAATCAAACTTTCAACAGTTGAATACATGTAATAGCTATGTTGTTGAAAACCAAAAACAATAAGGATGTGGATTGTTGTTTGTTGAAACTACTCAATATATTGAAAGCATTTGGTATACGACCTACAATGTTAATTTGTTCACTTTTACACTCTATTTTATTTGAGATCAATTATTTTATATCAAATAACATTTATTGTAGAAACATCAAAATTTATAATTTTTTTTTTGTTCTATGAGACTTATTTTATTTGGATATAGGGAAAATCTGTTTTTATCATAATATTATTATTTTTTGAAGAAAATACACTTTGTGGATCAACAGTAGTTTTGTGATAAAAAAAAATAAATTACAGTTTTAAATTTTTTTTAGTTATTATGATTTTAAAAAATGTTTTCAATTTTATTGTTCACAAAATATAATTAAATAATAAGAGATGAGATAAAATAGTAGGGTAGAGTATTTGAATAATAGGTGGAAGAAAGAGAAAATGATATAAAAAAAATAATAAGAGAAAGAGAAAATGATATGGAATGTTAAAAGTGTAATTAGGATGTTGAATAATTATATCCATTATACATATAGTTTATAAAATAGAGTTTAGAGTAAATATTCAAATGGTATTCTATTGTCTACTCTATAATAGAAAATAAATTTACTCTATAAATATAATAAGAAATGAGTTTGTTCTATAAATAGAATTATCTATTTATTTTTTCTTCATTACTTTATTTTAACTTTAAGATAGAATATCATTAGAATATAATCAACTATATCACAGAGTTACTTTAGTAAAATAATTATTCTATTTTAATAAAAAAATAAAATAAATCACTGGAGATGGTCTATATTTTGAGTGATGATTTTAGTATACATATGTATGAAGTAAAATAAGGTAGATTTCCAGCCAAAATTTCTCGTAGTTTTGATGAAACTCTGATGACTTTTCTTTTCTCACGTACCTTTCGAGTTTCAATGCCCTTGTTGTGTGTCTTCAATTCGTGTTATGTTGTCATACCATGTGATGATTTTTGCATCTATTAGAGCATCAGCAACAGATAGTTTCTTCCCACAACAACACTACAGATAGTTGAATCTGTAGATAGAGCCAAATGATTTGTTAAAAGTTCAATACATGTTTTTGTGACAACTACAATTGAAACTATGCTAATTTTAAGAATGAAAATGTTATCGCGACCATTTTTGCTATAGACACTTTTGCCAAATTCGTCACTTTGTATAGAATGCAAAAACATTTAAAATATGTAGTCATTAAAATAGACAGCTGTGGAGAAAAACGTTTGTAGGTTTCTCTGCCTATTAGTTAAAGAGAGGGATGCATCATCAATTCATCATCATTTAATTTTCTCACGATAGATATGATCTCAATTTAAATTTGTGAAATTTTCATTTACTGTGAAGATTTCATGCAGATCCAATCTTTGAATATCTTGCAGTGCTAGAAACGGCTTCCACAGCTTAACACCTATAGTCAAACTGGACCCCACCCTACACTCCTCTTTAGTGAATAGTATACACAAACCTAGCATCACTCCCTGTCAATTAAAAAAAGTTATGTATTGATATATACGTACTCCAAAATACGAACCTATCCCATTTAATTTATTTTTGTTATCAAAATGTAGACGAGAAGTTGTGTATATATCATCAAGACATATCAACAGTGGCAAGTTTATTTCTAAATTTCATTTATCTTATTTTCACTACTAAACAAATTTTAGTTCGTAAAATTGAATAACAACTACATATTCCACATGTTAAATAGTTTCTTGTCGAATTTTGAGAACTTTTTTAATTATGATTTTTGTTTAGCTACATGCAGCTCAATATGCGCAACATACAACAACTACAAGTCATAAATAGTTGACAAACGAAAATGATCAGATAAAAACAACTCTTGCAAAAGCAAATTAGCACAACAAAAAAGGACTTCATAAAATTCATCATAATAATATCCTGCCATAACATAAAACAAGAACAATCCATAAAGGATCCATAAGTCATATTACATATTAGTCAAAACACTGTTGAGCATAATGGCACTCTAACTTTAATATCTTACATAAATAACCAAACTTTCCATGAGGAGTACACTTATTCCTTACTCTTCCTCAAATGAACGACCAGTTCACAAACATAAAAGCTAAGCAGTGGTTTGATTCATCGTCTTCAAGAACTTTCCACACTGTTGCCTGCTCGTAAGACACCAATCTCCCCATGCTTGATGCACATACTCCCGCCGGAAGATGCGCATATCCCTACACAAAAATTAATCAAACATTCCAAATCAGACAATGACTTTTCCAAGAAAATGGTAAAAGATTCATCAGGTGAATGTAAAAAAAAAACCTGTTGCATGATCTTGGGGAACTCAGAGCAAAGAGCTTTACGACCAGGCTCGTCCAGGGTCTTGTCTAGCATTATGTCTTGAAGTGCTACAAGAGTAGTTTCCAGCATGTCCAAACCGGTTTGGTTTGCAAATGTGAAAACCGGTGAAGCCTACAAAAGAGATATCGTTACACACCCATCTCAAAAAATAAAAAAACATGTCCTTAGAAGCAAAGACATGTATGTCACTTACGTTTGTTTTCAGCGAGCAGCACAAGATTGCGTCAGTGTGGTTCCAGAGATGACGCAGCAATGTGTCACCATTGGTTTGAGAATCAGAGCCAAAGAGATTTACACCAGTGTGAACTCTACAACAGCAAATAAGAAGAGAGTTTATACCAAATTAAACACTAAGCTTAGAATGCTGATTAGTACCTGTAACTCCTTGAGATCCAACGGGCCAGAGTGAGAGCTTCAGGGGAAGTGGGAGCAGATATAGGACTGATACAGGAACCAGGACGAGGAGCAATGGCTAGAGCAACTCTCTGAATAGATCCCACTATGCTTCTCACGTACTGCCGTGCCATTGAAGCAACATTGTCTCTTGTGTGGTTATCAAATGTGAACTGGAATGCTATGGTCACCACCGACCTAAAGTTACAACCGTTTGCGTCAGCTTCACCTGCTTGACGTGTTGATCCTTCTAAAGCTGATGCTAAATCCAACGTACGGTTCGCAGATGCACCGTTCTATATATGACAATGGAAGATTATTAGACTAGGGCATCTAAAAACATGTAATTTGGATAAGATTTGACATATTACCGGGGTTGATTTATGTTCAAGAGGTATGACACGGAAACCAGAAGGAAGCAGAGGGGCATCATCAGCAAATGATTCATCAATAGGAGCAAAGACAAGCTGTGCACAGCCTCCAACTACGTTTTCATCAACACCGCTACAAAGCTGGACAAGAAACAAGGATGGAAATGTCAACAAGAGAACTAATGAACTGTGACAATGTGAACCCATGAAGTCAGACCTGAAGCAAGTACATATCACGAGCTAAACCCATGTCTTCAGGTGAATAAGCATGACCTTCAAGTCTAACCACTTCAAGAAACTGAAACAAGAAATCAAATAGGTTTCACAGGATGATAAGAAAAAAGTATTAAAGAGGGAAGAAAAAATGTAAAGCTGTTTAGTCTCTAGCACCTCTTCATGTTCAACAGTCTGTGCTAGTGGGAGAATGACTTGGTTGCTAGGGAACCCACCAGCTCTAGCGCAAGGAACAGCAAAGGGACTTGCTCTGAGGGATGCAGCAGCATAAGCATCCACACCATAATCAGCCCATTCAGAGCGGTGTTCTCTAAGGAATCTAACCAGCACAGCAGGTGGAACATTCTAGAATGCAAGGAGGAGATGCAAATTAGTTAAACTAAAGAGCAAAACAGAGAACAAGCTTTTTCAATGATCCAAGATGTACCTCCAATAGCATAGATGCCTTGGCACAAAGTACACCACTACCAAAGCTTGGTAGGAAGGAGCTACCGAACTGAGACCCACCAAACTTTCCAGGAGACAAGTTTATCATAACTGTAATATCCTCTGCACCATCACTACCCAATGGTGACCATCCATCATCCACAAAACCATTCACAGCATCATTGAATCCCCTGAAATTTCATTCATTTAAACATTAGAAAGAGAAAGAAAACAACGACTCTTGGCAGTTTAGATGTGATACTTACCGACAGAGTTTTTGACTGAAGGTTCTTAAAACAGCAGGTTGGCGCCCTCCACCGTACTGAACTTCTCCACTTGTCTCTTGTGCAATTTGTCTTACATGTCTCAGAGCCTGAAATAAAGAAACCAAACATAAGAACCAATATTATTCCAAGTCGTTGTGGTATATAAGGTTGTTTGAACTNAGTTTAGATGTGATACTTACCGACAGAGTTTTTGACTGAAGGTTCTTAAAACAGCAGGTTGGCGCCCTCCACCGTACTGAACTTCTCCACTTGTCTCTTGTGCAATTTGTCTTACATGTCTCAGAGCCTGAAATAAAGAAACCAAACATAAGAACCAATATTATTCCAAGTCGTTGTGGTATATAAGGTTGTTTGAACTTACAGCAACAGTCATTTTCTGAGCGAGTATTTTTGAGGATTCGTAAAGAGGCCTCATGACTTCAGGGACACTCCAGGCCTAAAGAAAGCAGAAAAAAAAAAACAAAGTCAGGAACATATTTATTAAACATAACTGATGTGTGTTGGAAACAATTTGACTTATGGCTTACATCCAAATCAACATGGTCAACAATGTGGACAATGGAACCACCACCCTCGCAAGGACGGATGAGAAACCCGCTTGGTCGCATTTCAGCTCTCACAAAGCTTGAAGAAGGTGGCCCATTGGGGCCACCAGTTGCAGATGTAAGCGACCTCTCACAAACCTGAAGACAGTGATTGAAGAAATCATGAAACAGTTTCAAAAATAGAAACCTAAAAAAAACATAAAAAGAAGATCCAAAAGCTTACCACATAGCTTCCATCTTCTAAACATGTGCTGTATCTCAGCGTCCAAAAGTCACG